GAAAGAAGAGTTCAGAAAATCAAAGATGTGTAGAAACAGTTGGTCCAATGGACTAATGGAACAACACTATAACATCAATTTCTGTTGTCATGAGACCAACAGAGCTAGATGGTGTCTGGCTACTACTACCAATTGTTTTGAAAAAGATATTAGAAGATCCTTGATAGAGGGTGTATGTCTGTGTGTGTTTGTGTGTAGTGCAATTCAGAATCATAAAAAAGGCCAGGCTAGTGTTGGATATAGACTGGTAGAACCCTGAGACTATGGGCTTCAGCCATAGACAGGTCTATAGGAGAACAGTGACACTAGCGAAGTATACCTTAAAATAATTGACCCTCTGAGGTCACAGGGGTATCATTTACCCAAGGTTCAAATTCAGAAGTGTTAAGAGAGAAGGAGTGTGTGTTAGTCTGGGCAGACTAGGTCAGGGGTTCTCAATACATCGATTGCGATCTGCTAGTTGATCACAAATGTTATGTGGGTAGATTGCATGGCATTAAAAAAACAGACATAAGCCTATCATCAATCCTGTCACTTAATTAATATACAGTGCAGCCAATCAGATGCAATCTTAGGTGAAAAAAACGCATGCATAAACAACTGTGCTGAGTGCAGCAAAATTGACACGCTAAGTTATCGCCAATTTTTAGACCTTGTTTTTTTTCTCTTAAATGTAAGAAAGGGTATTAAAATGAGTGCGGGAGCTGGACCAAGTAAGAAGACAAAAAACGTATCACTTTCATACGGAAGGGGAGATTTTGACACTACAAGCTGACATTCAGCTGACGTCCAGAGTGCATGAACAGTTCTGGAACTTACTCGCAGAGGGAAAGTATCCAAACATGAGAAAATGTGCTACCTCCTTGACTGCATTATTCGGCTCTACTTATTTATGTGAGTCAGCCTTTCCCACATAAAGATCAGTAAGTCCAAGTACTGTTCCATCATGACTGATGATCATTTGGAAGTGTGCTTAGGCTGGCTGTCAGCAGCTACTGTCTGGACTATGCATCCCTGGCTCATTCCATTGAGTGCAAGTCATCAGAGTAAACTCGGGTAATGACAAAAAATGTACATAGTTAATTGTATTGTGTTGTGTAATATGGACTCGTGGTTATGTAAGGTACATGAACATACATATAAAGAATTCTCAATGCATTTATGAATAAATGTAATAAATAAAAATAAATGTTTTGCATTTTTGTAGTTGGTAGATAACTTTGACTTGATCATTTTAGAAGTAGCTCGCATGCTGAACAAGTGTGAGCGCCCCTGGACTAGAGAAACAAATCCATGGATACACATATGTGTATAAGAAAGAGATTTATATACAAGAGCAAATGAACGTTGAGAAGACATCCCAGCCCAGTCCAGATCAAGTCCGATATTAGCCCATATGTCTGATACCAATCTATAAAGCCCTCTTCAGACTCACAAAACACATGCAATGATGCCGAATGTAGAAGATCACAGGTCAGTGGGTAGAAAGTCTTTGGATCCAGTGGTGTTGTAAGCATCTCAGTGCTGGTAGGGGTCTCTACGTGGCTTTTCCAGCTTCAGAGGTTGCATCAGGGTAGGTACATGTGTCTTGTCAGCTGCAATGTCTCCCAGGAAGTGGGATAGTGAGTGAGTGTCTCTCCTGCCTCCAAGGAGGAAATTTCAGCAATTCCCAGAATCCTTAGGGGAAGGCCATGCCCACACAGGGATCTCATTGGTCATATTCTGATTAACAGTCTAGACTCCACTCCTAATCCTTAAATTGACACTAGATTATGTAACTACCAGAGAGTGGAAACTGAACACTAGGAGGAAGTGGGAAAACGATGTTACATGGGGGGATTACAATCAATGAGGTGAAAATATCAATTGTTGAATGGAAAACTGCTTTGCATTGCAAACCTTCACCCAAATCAAAATAAAAAGCTTTGTGTTTTTGTTTTTTTTAAATGGTTGTGGGTGGAATATGTGTATATTTATACTGCATAGTTTTCACAAACTACTTTATGTAAATGAAACAGGAATGTGTTTGGGGTGGTGACCCTATGCTCCACATTCTCTCATGAGATAGTGAGCAAGCATATATATTACAGTCTGATTCCAAAATCTTTTACATCCCAAGTTCTATTCTGTAGCCATGTTGGACTCTTTTTTCGTAAAACTCTCTTCTGTATTGTGTAGAAGGGCATCATTAAAGAGAGGTGGAAAATAAATTAGAATTTCTCCATGTGTGGAGCCAGCGAGGGAATGAGGTAGAGAGAGCACAAAGGGATGGATGAAATTTGGGTAAGGTGACTGACTGTTAGTCTTTTGAAAATGAGAGAGGATGGATACAGCTTCAAACACATAGTGTATTTCTGATTAGGAAAGTAATTAAAAAAAAAAAGGAAAGTAATTTTTGGGGTATGGATCCTCTAATATAGGTAATTTTGGGTCATTTTACAAGGTGTTAGATTCTGACTTGATTAGCATAAATTATTTTATTCTGTTTAAAGAGGAACTTTTTTCCTAATCTATCAAAAACAAATTCTATAATGAGTATTGACTTTCTAATGGTTTTCATACTTAAAATTTTTAAAAATTATTTGCTTAGTGAGTTTTTCATTGTTTCCTGATACGTTGCTTTAAAATATATTTAATGATAAATTTATGTAGTCCAAATATTCATTAAGCCATGCTTAGGTGATTGTCTGAATTCATCTTGCTACTTAGCAGAAGTAAGATAGGAAATTGGCTTTATGATTCTTAGGGCAGTGCTCTTTCCTTTGTGTCAGCTACCTTGTTTTTGTGACTTAGTACACAATTATCTAATTTTAGCACTCTCACTTGTTTCCTATTGGCCCATGAGTATCTCACAAGAATTTAAGTAGCAGACTTTTTGGGTTCTTTAATAGTTACTCATTCAGCAAGTACTTCTTGAGTGCCAGCTGTACGACAGTTACTATTTCAAATTTTGAGGGTTAATATATTCTTGAGCCGCAGGAATGGAGGAACGAGAAAATAAACTTTTAAGTAAAAAAAAAATTAGCTGAGTTTCAGATAGTCATAATAAATACCTTCCCCCCAGAACAAACAAAACACACAGAGAAATAGAATATGGTAGCAGAATTACCTATTTAGATAGAATAGTCAGGGAAGCTTTCTCCAAGGAAGTGATGATATTTGAGCTGAGACTGGATGATAAGAAAGAGCTACCATGTGAGGATGTAGGAGTAGCACATTCCAGGCATGAGGTCATAAGCTTGGCTTGTGTGATGAATGGAAAGGTGAATACAGGGGTGAGTGGGAGGAGAGGAGGTCAGAGAGGTCGGCTGGGTGTCGGTTTAATAGGGCTGGCTTTGTAGGCTTTGCTGTGGAAATGTGGTTTTATTCAAAGTGAAACCATATGGTATTGGAGCTGTGCTGTGACTGCCCTGAATGGTTTTTTAGAGAATGGGCAGGTAGAAGTGACAGGTAGGAGTGCAAGCAATGGCCCCAGTTAGGAAACAGCCATGGGTTCAAAAGCCAGATGGTGGTGGCTTAGACCTGGGTGGTAACCAGGGGAGGCCGGGAAATTAGGTCTGTGATTTATTTTGGAAGGCTTTTGGATCTTCTGATAATTAAACGTGAGGTTCAGAGAGGAAGTCTGTGTTTGAGTGAGAAGATGGATAAAGAGAGGAAAACAGTGGTAGCATTTATTGGAGAGAGGACTTCTGGGAGAGGAACACGTTAGGTTAAATTTGAGATGCCTTTAGACAGTGAGAGAAACTGACTTGATGGCAGTGGGTGTACAGATAAAGAGGCAATTGGATGTTCATATTCAGTTTTGAGGTGAGGTCACTGATGCCAAGATTTTGTGGGAAAAGGGAACGTTGTTAGACCTGAGCCCTCATCTGGAGCATATAACATTAAGAGGTTATATAGGAGAGGGAGAAGTCAGCAGAGGGCCAAGGATGTAAAAGAAAAAAGAGAAATAACCTTTTGTGGCAGTCAGGGAAGAGGGCATTTTTAGGAGGAATGTTAGTGTTTGCTGTGCTAAAGATTGCTGTGAAGTCAGAGGTAGAATGAGATCAGAGAAAGGAACATTGGATTTGGCAATATAGACTGCATTGTGACCTTGGCTAGAGCACTTTCATGGGGAGCTCAGAGGCTTGGGAAGTTGAGGAAACATGGACAATGACTGGAGTGATTTGTTTTAGAAGTTTTGCCGTGAAAAGAAGTTTATAAATGGAGTGGATACTAGGAGTGGGGAGAAGTGGTGAAGGGAGATTTTTGCTTGTTTGCTTTTTAAAATTGGAACTATCAAAGGTGCATGTGCTGATGGCAGTGATCATTAAAGAAGAAAAATGGTGGTGCAGGACAGAAGGGTTAATAGTTGAGAGAAGTCTTGAAAGGAGCCCTGGTGGTATGGTGAATACTTTGCTCTTAACTAAAAAGTTGGCAGTTCACTGTCATCCAGTAACTCTGTTTCCATAAAGGTTATAGACTAGGAATTGCTCTGTCATACAGGGCTGTTAGAAGTTGAAATTGACATGATGGTACCTAACAAACGACAGCGTTCCTGAGGTGGCCTAGTGGGATGGGACAGAGAACAGAACTTCAGGGACCACCCTTTCATAGGGACAGTGATACAACAATGTAATGTGACCCTAGAGGCCCCTCCTCACTTCAGTTTTCCATACTCCTGTAGATCAAGTTAATGGTTTTCTTTCTGTAGTCACCCCCCCCCCACCATACTACCCTTAATATGTGTAGTTGGATTACATTTTTACAAAAAGGTGTAACATTGGGGCCCCTGGTGGTGTAGTGGGTTACTAGTTGCGAAGTCAACAATTTGAAACCGCCAACCACTGTAGGAGAGTGATGAGGCTTTCTACCCTCACCAAACCCACAGGGGCAGTTCTACTCTGTTAGTTGTTATGAATCAGAATTGACTCAATGGCAATGAGTTGATTGGAGTTTTAACATGAAGTAAGTGGTGATATTTGACACCAATTTCAATTTTTGTGCCAACAGGTGAAGCAAAAAATTTGTTGCCATATCTTGGACCCAACAAAATGAGAGATTGTTTCTGCACCATAAATTTGGACCAGGAAGAAGTTTATCGTACTCAAGTTGTTGAAAAATCTTTAAGGTTGGTAGAAAAATTGGTAAATTATTTTATGTATTCATAAAACATGTAATCATATATTTTAGATGTTTTTCAGACTGTAATAATCAAGACCTCTACCCTGAAACTTTTGCTTTCTGTTTACATTCTGAAGGTTTTTTTAATAACTCATTTTATTGGGGGCTCGTACAGCTCTTATAACAATCCATATATCAATTGTATCAAGAATATTTGTACATATGTTGCCATCATTTTCAAAAGTTTCCTTTCTACTTGAGCCCTTGGTATTAGCTCCTCTTTTTTCCTTCCCTCCCACCATTGTGACCCCTTAATAAATTAAAAATTGTTATTATTTTCATATCTTATACCATTCACTGTCTTCCTTCATCCACATTTCTGTTGTTCGTCCCCTTGGTGGTGGTGATGGGGGGGAGGGTTATCCCCAATCATTGCTATCAGTTCCCACATTCTCCCGCTTCTCTCCCTACCTTCTCCCTAACCTCATGGTATCGCTACTCCCATTATTGTACCCGAGGGGTTATCTGCCCTGGATACCATGTGTCAAGAGCTCTTATCTGTACCAGTGTATATGCTCTGGTCCAGCTGGATTTTTAAGGTAGAACTGGGGTCATGATAGTAAGCGGGAGGAAGCATTAAAGAACTAAAGGAATGTTGTGTGTTTCATCGGTGATATACTGTACCCTGGCTGGCTCTTTCCTTCCTTGTGACCCTTCTAGGAGGGGATGTCCAATTGCCTACATACAGATGGGCACTCCGACCTACCTCATTCGAATTGATATGATTGTTTTGGGTGTTCTGATGCCTGATATCTGATCCCATTGACATCTCATGATCACTCTGAATTTATTTTTAGAATTATAGCCTCTCCAAGTTTGACAGATTGACACAGTGGCTACACTAATGGGCTCGAGCATGGGAACAGTTGTGAGCACGGCTCAGGAACAGGCAACGCTTCATTCTGTTGTACACAGGGTTGCTATGAGTTGGAGCCAACTCAGTGGCCTCTATCAACAGTAATGACAGTTACAACAACAGAGTTAGCTGGACCCTTGATGTTCATGGAGCTGGCCTATCTACCTTATGTTCCTTCTGACAGTGAATTTGACAAATAGTCACCAGGCATTTGCTTAATGGAGTCCAGTGACCAAAGAGTTCAGTGCCTCCTATGCAGCCTACATGGATCTTGAACTATTCTCTTAGAATGTTCTTATGGTCAATTGATTAATGTTTATTAAAAGAGCCCTGGTTGCTTAGTGGTTACCTGTTGGGCTGCTAACTGCAGGGTCAGTAGTCAAAACTACCAAGCACTCTTCTGAGAAAGATGAGGCTTTTCTACTCCCGTAAAGAGTTAAAGTTTTAGAAACCCAAGGGACATTTCTAACCTGTTCTGTAGGGCCACTATGAGTCAGCATCCACTCGATGAGTGAGTTGGAATGTTTACTAAAATGAGAAGGCACAAGAATGTGCTAGATGCTCTTTATTCATATTACCATGAGCGTAAGCTATTATAAAATACATCATCTTCCAAATAGATTTGACAGAGGGCATTTCTATATATTGATTTATATGTGCTGCAAAATATCAATGCATATAGTAGATTATACAGAGGGAAATGTTATGTAAACTTTAGTTATAGCTATACACATTGAGTGACACTGGACCTGAGTGTACTGGAAGGATGCAGTCTTGCTCAGAGCTAAAAATCAAAACAAGGGCATATCAAGATGGTGGGATGGGCATATGGTGGATGGTATATTGAGTACCATGACAATGTATTTCAGGCTCTTAGGATACGTTTTTAAAAAAAATACTTCTATATAGAGGTCCTGGAGGCACAGTGTGGGAATTGTGCCCAATCTGACCCCACCACGCTGGGGTGAAATGCTAAGGGTGTGCAACAGAGCAGCAAGGAGAGCAAAAGAATGAAGTCCCGGGAAATACCAAAAATAGACTTTGAAATGACAGGACATGGCATCCCATCAGATTTGACCAGAATACATGCCTAAAGGTCAGCAAACAGACCCTGAACTATTTATAGGTTTTCTTTTTTTTTTTTGTCATTGGTTTTAATGTGTTGTTGTTTGGGTTTTTTTTTCTTTTGTTGTTTTGCTCTGCCATGTTTTTGTGCTAATTATTGTCTCTGTATGTTTATCTAGATAAGATAGGTGGGATAAACAATCCGGAGGAGAAAACAACAGGATCTATGGTTCAGGTGGAGGGGGCGGGGATATGGGGGTGGAGGAAGGAAGTGGGTGTTAACAAACCCAGAGACAAGGGAACAACAAGTGATATAAAATTGATGGTGAAGAGGGCATAGGATGCCTGGTAGGGCTTAATCAAGGGCAATGTAACCGAGAGGTATTATTCAAACCCTAATTAAGGCCGAACATAATAGTGGAACAAGAGGAAAGTAAAAGGAAATACAGTGAACCCTCGCCACTTCGCGCTTCGACTTCTGCGGCTTCACTCTATCACGGTTTTTGCGTAACAGCGCATGCTCTGTCATTACTGCCACTGATTGGCTCATACTGTACACGCTTGATGCCATAAATAATATAATAAATAATAAATGATCATTGTAATGTCCAAAATGTTTTGCTGTATTTTCCCTTTTTTGTTTAATAAATTGGGTAATACGAGTGTAATGGTGACTAAAGGGTGTTTTTTCATGTCTTCTATGCTCTAACTACGAAAATATTTGATTTACAAATAAGGACTCCTACTTCGCAGAATTTCATTTATCACGGTAGGGTCTAGAACCGATTAACCGCGATAAACGAAGGTTCACTGTACAGGTAAGAACTAGGAGGCAAAGGGCATTTATAGAGGTCTAAATATAGGCATGTACATTTGTAAATATATAACGATAGGGAAATAGATCTATGTACATATATTTATATGTTAAGTATTAAGGTAACAGATAGACATTGGGCCTCTACTCAAGTACTCCCTCAATGCAAGAACATTTTGTTCTAATAATCTGGCATTCCCTGATGCTCACCTTCCCAACACAATCACTGAAGACAAAATGGGTGCATATCAAATGTAAAGAAAGCTCATGGTGCCGGCTATCAAAACTATAGTGTCTGGGGTCTTAAAGGCTTGAAGATAAACAAGCGGCCATATACCTGAGAATCAACAAAGCCAACCTGGAGGAAGCACACCAGCCTGTGTGATCATGAGGTGTCGATGGGATCAGGGGTCAGGAATCAAGACCTGGAACAAAAAATCTTATCACCGTGAATGAGGGGGAATGCAGAGTGGAGACCCAGAGCCCATCTATAGACAATTGGGCATCCCCTTACAGACAAGCCAGTCAGGGTGCAGTATAGCACCAATGAAACATACAATTTTCCTCTAGTTCTTTAATGCTTCCTTCCCCTGACTATCATGACCCCATTTCTACCTTATGAATTCAGCTAGACCAGAGCACATACATAGGTACAGAGAGAGCTGGAAACACAGGGAATCCAGAACAGAGAAACCCCTCAGGACCCATATTGAGAGTAGCGATATTAAGAAGGTAAGTGGAAGGTGGAGGGAATAAGGGGGAACCCATCACAATGCTCTGCATATAACCCCCTCCCTTGGAGATGGACAGCAGAAAAGTGGGTGAAAGGAAATATCACTGTAAGATATGAAAAAAATAGTAATTTATAAATTATCAAGGGTTTGTGGAGGAGGGAGAGGGAAAAAAATGAGCTGATACCAAGGGCTCAAGTAGAAAGCAAATGTTTTAAGAATGATGGCAACAAATGTACAAATGTGCTTGACACAATGGGTGGATGTGAGGACTGTGATAAGAGTTGTACAAGCCCCAATAAAATGATTTTTTAAAAAAGAAAAAATGATGTCAACAAATATTCAAATCTGCTTGACACAATGGATGTATGTATGTATTGTGATAAGAACTGTATGAGCTCCCAATAAAATGGTTTAAGAAAAACAAGTGGTTTAAAATTTCCTTTAGTGACTTTTATTTCTAATTCTTTTATAATTTTTTATATGTCTATTAGAGTTCTCAATAGAAAAGGCCTTTTACAAATCTTGAATTACTTTCACAACCTCAAGTATGAATGTACTTCTGAGCCTAGTCATAAGTCACTTTTTCCTAGAGTGCTGAGTTCAGGTATTATATAATATGTTATTGATGAGACTGAGACCTCAAAAGGCTGAGTAATTTGCTTATGTAGTAAAGTTGGAAGCAAAACTGATATTGGGACCCCAAATTATTTAGTCTCATTTTTTTTTAATGTCCATTGAGTCTGTATTTTATAGTAATCGGTAATATGCACAACTAATTACAAGTTAAATACTTGTGGTCAAGTTTCTAATAACTAGTTTTGTAAATGAATAAAATAAAACAACTTTAAAAAATCATTGCCCTTTCAGAGCTTTATGTTGGGAATAGCAATGAATACAGTTTTGGGGTTTTTGTTTTCTATTTTTAAAAATATGTCTTAAATGATTTTTATAGGTGCTTAGCAAGTTGGAAAATATTGTAAGGTTGGCAATGGTAACCTGGAGTACAGCTAGACGAACTGCCTGGAGTTTAGGGGCTCCCTAGCACTTTTCCTTGTGGACTAGAGGAAAAATGTCTGTATAAACTTGGCCCACCTTGCTTTCATTATCATCTTTTCTACTTTTATGGATATTGTGGTAAGCTGTTAGGTAGGGCTTTATTAGATACCATTTAACACTTCTATGGGGTTGTAAAGTTTTTATATGGAGCCTGAGAAAGTTTCAGTAACAGGTGAATAGGAATCATGTATGCAATCTATAGCTCCTAAATATCTACCTCAGATCCTTTTAGCAATTTGAGGTGGTGTATAAGCAAACTGCATAAAGCCACCCTGCTCATGTTTGCCTTCTATCTGCCCCATGATCAAAGGTCTGTGATACCAGAGATGTTATGAAAACTGTAAATATAGTTATGGCTCCTTGCCAACCCTACTAAAACATTTTCTTTGCATGGATAGATTAACTAATATATAAAATAAAGATAGAAGTACCTGGATGTGGGGCTTGGGTTGTTGAGATGGATGACACTGAAATAAAACCCATAATCATTCACATGGTGTTTTTATTGGTTTTAGGGTGTGTTTTAAAATAATGCTTGACATCAGAACAAAAAATCTTAGCATAGTGAATGATTGGGGGAGTGCGGAGTGGAGACCCAAAGCCCATTAGTAGGCCACTGGAAATCCCCTTGCTGAGGGGTCTCGGGGAGGAGACGAGCCAGTCAGGGTGCGATGTAGCAACGATGAAAAATACAACTTTCCTCTGGTTCCTAAATGTTTCCACCCCGCTCCCACTATCATGATACGAACTCTACCTTGCAAGTCTGGCTAGACCAGAGGATGTACACTGGTACAGATAAGAACTGGAAACACAGGGAATCCAGGGCGGATGATCCCTACAGGACCAGTGGTGTGAGTGGCGGTACTGGGAGGGTAGAGGGAGAGTGGGTAGGAAGGAGGGAACCGATTACAAGGAGCTATATGTGACCTCCTCCCTGGGGGACGGACAACTGAAAAGTGAGTGAAGGGAGACATCGGACAGGGCAAGATATGGCAAAATAATAATTTATAAATTATCAAGGGCTCATGAGGGAGGAGGGAGGGGAAAAATGAGGACCTAATGCTGGGGGCTTAAGTGGAGAGGAAATGTTTTGAAAATGATGAGGACAATGAATGTACAAATGCGCTTTACACAATTGATGTATGTATGGAATGTGATAAGAGTTGTATGAGCCCCTAATAAAATGATTAGAAAATAAATAAAATAATGCTTGAATGTAGATGTATAAAATATAAAAGGGAGTCCTCATTTTATTATTGTGTAAGATTGATGTAAAGGAAAAAAAATAGCTGATACATGCCATGTCTTTGTCTAATTATTTTTGCATCTTTTTTATGTTGTAACTAATTAGATGACCAATTATTTACAAAAGCTAACTATCAAACCTTTATTTTGGCTACATTTGAAGTAAGAATAATATTGAAAGTAATGAAAGGTCAGAAAGAATTTAAGATTTTACTTTTAAGTTTTTAGCTCAGCTTCTTTTTTTTTTAGTTGTAGCACCCTTAACACTGCATTTTAAAAGTATGTTTTTATTCTTCAAACATTTTCAGGAAATATGTACTCAACAAAGATATTCACTAAAATTTCAGAGATTTATGCTTTTAATACCAAAAAACCTACTGCCATCAAGTCTATCTGACTCCCAGTGACCCTATAGGACAGAGTAGAACTGTTCCAGTTTCCGAGGCTGTAAATCTTCATGGGAGCAGACAGCTTCATCATTCTCCTTTGTAACAGCTAGTGGATTCGAGTCACTGACCTTGGGGTTAACAGTTCAATGCTCACCTGATAGTGTAATCAGGGCTCCTTTCAGGCTCCCACAGAAGAATTTAAATGTGATTAAAGTAGCATTCTTATGGAAATAAGTTGATTCATAAGAGAAACTCATCACAACCTTGAGGTAGCCAACAATTTCTTAAGATGGAAATAGGACTAATCATTAAAAATAATAATTATTTTTTACACTGATGGCCCATAGATATCCTTCAGGTCTGGAAATGAACTCACCCTCATGGTTCAACTTTCATGCAAACATTAGACATGTCTGTAAGGAGAATAGAAGGAGCCTTAGTGGTGTAGTAGTGTTTTGGGCTTTGATTCACAAGGTCAGCAGTTCAAAGCCACCAGCTGCTCCTTAGGAGAAAGATGAAGCTTTCTACCCCATAAACAGTTACAGTCTCAGAAAGCACAGGGGTGTAGTATTAAATTAAAAGGGGCACGGGGGAGGTGGGGTGCCAGCCCCACCCGCTGCTTGAACTCACTGGTTCAGTAATACTACTGGGTTCAGTAAGTACAATTGTACGGTTGAGATATATATATATAAGCGTTATATTAGAGTCATTGAGAGCATGAGAGATAATACAATAATACAGTCAGACATATTACATGGTAGCATTGCTCACCTCATTCTAGAACAGGTTTGATCATTCTGGTGTCTCATACAATAAAAGAGACAATTACTATTCTGGGAGGCATGCAAGTTCCCTGATAGCAGATAACAACCTACATCGTAGAGAAGGGTTGTAACATAGGCAATGCAAGCAATAGGAGGGGGATGACCTAGGGGTGAACGTGCAATAGTAAGAGGAGGGAATAGGGGGGCATGTGTGGCAAGATAGTAGCCTAAACTTAGTCATCTTAAAGTGGTCCCGGGCTTGCCTATGGGCACTGCTTCGAGGGAACAATAACAGAAAGGAATGGGCCCTATTTGTTGTGGGATAAGCAGTGGTGTCTGCTTGATCTAGACAGCTGATACCTCTCAGTGAGGATGACTCCCAATCCATTCTTGATGGTTGACATTAGGGAGAATAACCTCTGACCTACTTTCGCTGCCTAGTGAACAATTATTTTCCAGCTAAATCTGGCATATATTGTGGGGAGACAACATAAGAGAAATCCTTCGGTTCCTCACACAGGGGCAGTTCTGCCCTTTCCTGTGGGGTCACTATGAGTTGGTTTAGACTTTATGCCAGTGAATTTTGTTTCCTTTTTGGTATAAGGAGAATAATAACACTAGTAAGGTACTTAAACTTTGGGAAAATCAACCATTTAAAATAAAAAGGACAGTATTTACCCATCAGTTAAAAAATGGTTTGTACAGAATTTAATTGACACTGAATATTGAGGACAATTTTGAAGCTTTTCTTTATGGCATTGTAGTCTGTAGTTTAATTGATTTTGCTGGAAATGGTATTATTTGAGGATATCATTAAATTTAAATCTAATAAGCGTTCCTTTTTTTCTTCCTAGCCCATTTTTCAGTGAAGAATTTTACTTTGAGATCCCAAGAACTTTCCAGTATTTGTCTTTCTATGTTTATGATAAGAATGTTTTACAAAGAGACCTTCGTATAGGTATGTACTAATAATAATGATTATTAATAGAAAAATACAGAGTAATATGTACTCACCATTTCTAATCCTCCTCTCTAGCCTTCATGTTCATCTGACAATTTAATGTTTAAATTATGTACTGGATACTTCTTCAGTTAGGCCATCCTTGATCCCCTCACCATCATCCTGTTTGTAGCACACCGCATGGTTCTTTTCATGGCACTCAATGATGTTTGTGCATCAGTTCATTGTCTAATGTTAAGAGTTTCTGGTTGAATATGACACTTTGAGGGCTGGAACTATGACTCACTGAGTTAAGAATTTGATAAGTATTCACTGAATGATTCCAAATTACCTGTACAAAGATAGTCTTGATCCCCCTCATTGAAGTTTTTCTATAAAAGTAATCATTTGCTTTTATCTAGTCTTATTTTTTTCTCCTTAGTTGTACCCAATGACTAATAGATGTGTTTCTTAAGTAACTGTTAGAGTCCAGGATATGGTCTGCAGAACAAAACGAACTGGTGTGTGCTTGTGTCACATTCATGGTTTTTGCACCTTCTTTATATTTTAGTAAGGTAAAGAGAGGTCTTATATTATCCTCTCCTTTTAAAAAGTGCCCTGAAATCAATTCTTTCCACCTTTCCTTTCTGATTTGAAATATACTCAAGTCTCCCACTAAATGACCCTCTCAAACACTTGATTGATTGATTGAGGTTGATTCTGACACGTAGCGCCCCTGTGCAGGGTTCCCCAAACATGTCATCTCTATGGGAGTAGATGGCCTCATCTTTCTCCTCTATTTAATACTTGCACTAGTGACTAAACCACAGTTCTGCCAGAGCTCCAGTGTACGCCAGCCCCCCAAATTAAGCTTTCTTTGACTTTGTTCTCGTCCCTGCCATCTAATGCTCCCAGTTAAATTAACTTGATTGAATCTAACAGCACCAGCAGCAGCTTGTCTGTAAGGAACCCTAAGGTCCTAGTGGTAAAACTGTTTGGTTGCCAACCTAAGGTTGGTTGTTTGAACCCACCTAGCAACTCTGCCGGGGTTTACTATCAGAGATTGCAGCCTAGAGAGGCTTATTGAGCAATTCTATTTTGTCACATGGGGTCACTTATGTGTAACGTAGATGAGAGAACAATTTGGTTTGGTGGGGGTTAAGAAAGACCTAACAAGGAAAGGACAACCAGTTTCAAGAGATTGGCAAGAGAAGAGGAGTAATTCTTATCCTCATAGTTGTGCAAGCTGCTGGGCGTATAGAAGTTACTTAGGAAAGGGTGGTGGTAGGAGATAACCCTGGGCATATGAGCCAAATTGTGATGACCCTTTTAAGACCTTGCTGAAAAATTGGGATTTTAGCCTGTAGATAGTAGTTTTAGGCATTTAAGAAAGAGGAATTTAAAACTACTTGCATGTTGAATTGCATATATGTAACTTTATACACACATATGTAATCATAGGTATATTTTTCTCTATGCATATACTAACCAAAAGGGAGGGTAGTGGTTGGAATTTACCTAGAGACCTCAGAAGACAGATCTAGCAATCTGCTTCTAAAAGGTCACAATCTTGAATACACTGTGGAGCACCCAGAGTCAGAATGAGCTCAATGGTAATCAATAGGATTAATGATAACTCAAAACTAAGGACCCCTGGTGGTGCTATCGTTTACACATTGGACTGCTAACTGCAAGGTCAGCAGTTCAAGCCTATCAGCCACTCTTTTTTTTTATTATATTTTCTTTCTTTTTTTTTTTTTAACATTTTATTATTAGGGGCTCATACAACTGTTATCCCAATCCATACACACATCAATTGTGTAAAGCGCATTTGTACATC